TGTTATCTTGAAAGTTCGATCTTTAACCCTTCAAACTCAATTACCCATTTACCACTCCGCCCAGCATCGTATGCCTCACCTGACAAAACCAAGTTTACAAACAGACCAAAAAAGGATCAGTTCTTGTTCAAGAAATCGCTATGGTTCTCTCCTTCAATATCTGAGCAGCAAACGTTACAAGTTCCACCATTTCAAACCCTGCAGCAGAGACTGAGTCTATTTTGTCACTGCTGCAATCTTCATAGACATCACCGGACCCAGTTCCAGCATTTTCCCCAGTCAATCCAACATCTGCCTCAGCTGACCAACTAACTGGCAGGGAGCTTCCAAGGGCAGTCTTCACAAGTTTTACATCATCAATAATCTCATCAAGAGCTTCTAACAAACTTGTTTCTGTACCTTCTGCAGTGACAGACTCTTTTACCTATAAATAGAATGCAGCAGTAAAGTAGGAGAAAGACCTCAAGCCATAGTTTCAAACAGTAATACAAAAGATGCTGAAATGATGACCTAAGCTTCCAGAAAAGAAATCTAACACGAAACAACTGCAACACATGATATGACACTTTTAGCACAAAACAACCAAGAACAATTTTAATCCAAACATCAATTAAATTTAAGGAAATCATGCATAGATCACTATACTAAACCAACATCTATTGTACCACAGATTCCTCAACCCATGTCAGCAATAAGCAAAGAAAACGTAAACCCATCATGCTTCAGTGATATTTTGTATATATGATGGCTCACTGGGAGTTTACCTTTAGAAGAGAAAGACGTAATCTATGAACAGAAGAAGTAAGGTGCTCTATGCTTTCCAAGCTCTCCTTAAGCATTGCATTTTCAATCTTCAATCTGAAAAATGGAAGCATTAAAAATGCAAGAATGGAAGAAATTAATGCACACATACTTTTGATTTACAGCACAAAGGTCAGGCATATGAAATGAAGGATATTTCTTGCACACAAGAACCATCTAATAATATGCTTATATGAATCAAAAGATAATGCAATTCAAAGAGAGTAAATGGTATTTCTCATACCCGGCAAAATCCATGCTACTGGACCTTCTGCCACTTAAATTTCCTTCATTACTTGGATGAGCTTCTGTTTCATTTCCACCAATATCTGACGTACCAACCCAATGTCTCAGATATGATTTCTTCAGCAGGTTTTTCAGCCTTCCATGTCGTTCATTCGTACCAATTCTTTTCTCCCCAGTTTCAGCCAAAAGGTTCCCTTGCTTCATTGCATTACTGATTTTCCTGCATCGGCGGTCATGTCTAGTTAGTGGAACAGTAATTAAGCCTCCAGAAGCAAAACAATCAGTAGAATTGGAGATACAGGCCAAAAGAAGAAATTAAGAAATCAAAGATATACAAATGCACCATTTGCATGGTAAGAACACTGTATGAAAAATTCCTGTACTCTTAAGAATTAAAAGTTTTCCTGATGAGCCCTTTTTGGCACAAAGACAGCAGCCATACTCTAAGAAAACGTAAAGACAGCCATGTATTGGTTTTAAGGTCATGAAAGAGCAGGGCTGTATTATGAGGTTATACAGTAGATAGAGACTACAATTCTCCACAAAACATACAGAAACTAAATGTTTTCTATTCCATAATACAGAACAAAAAGAACATTTATGAGAATCTATTCTGTTGTTTCTTAGGTTGCAAGTTCACTAGGACATATCTTTGTTGAATCTTATCCAAAGGTCTTGTAAGCCTAATGAAAGACCAAGGGGAACATCAAATTTTACAATGGTATTAGGTATAAGTCAGATCACTTCCCACTGACCCACTTATGGCAACAGTATTGGTGGAATTGTGGTATCAAATTATCAATAAGTGCTCAAGACACAAAGAGCTGACACTTACTAACATATTTCAATCTTCAACACAGAAACTGGTCTTAAGAACATAAAAAATGGCCAAACAAACTCAAAAGTCAAAAAATACTAAAGTAAGAAGAATCCTACTCTTTTAGTGACTGATATTTCTCCTTTAACTGTGCCAGCTCCAAGAGAGCCTTCACCTTTTCATTCGTAACCTGAATTAAAAACTCAAGCACATCAGTCAAAAGTATAACCAATAAAGCCATTAAAAATCAATTGTGTCTAACTTGGAAAAAGCAACTCAATGAGTCAAACTACAAGTCTACATTTAAGGGTCTGGACAATGAGAAAGAAATAAGTTCTTGTTTCTATTAAGCAAGGAATGTAACACAATAATCAGATATGTTTTCTTTGGTACAAATTCCAAAATGTAGATTCAAACTTTTAAAACTATCAAATTCAACTAAAAATGAAAATAGAATTATCAAGTCCACGGCAAAACATTGCTTAAATTTTTGATTTAAGGTCTATGCATGCACAATTGATTACTATTCATATAATTAAAGCTTCTCATTTTTACCCTAGTTTTCTTCCATAGTGGGTCAGAAGGATGATAGCATTTAATTCAACTGTCTGAAGTATAGCCAAAAGAATTACTTGGAGCAAATTTCTCTGAAGCTCCTCCATTTTTTTCTGAAGAGCTGCATTTACATTTTTCTCTAATAAA